CTGGGAACACGAAGAACACGAAGTGGTTTACAGTTGGCCTCGGGCGTTCAAAATGTGGCCTGGGAATTGTGTTCTGGGACCACGAAGACCACGAAGTGGCCTACAGTTGGCTCCGGGCGTTCAAAATGTGGCCTGGGAATGGTGTTCTGGGAACACGAAGAACACGAAGTGGCCCACAGCTGGTTCCCAGCAATCAAAATATGGCCTGGGAATGGTGTTCTGGGATCACGAAGAACACGAAGTGGCCTACAGTTGGCCCCGGGCATTCAAAATGTGGGGAATGGTGTTCTGGGACCACGAAGAACACGAAGTGGTCTACAGTTGGGCCCGGGAATTCAAAATGTGGCCTGGGAATGGTGTTCTAGGAAGACGAAGAACACGAAGTGGCCTACAGTTGGTTCCGGGCATTTAAAATGTAGCCTGGGAGTGGTGCTCTGGGAATGGATTCTTAAGAATTCCTGCAGATTCCTGACAACTGGGGCTGCCGGATCTGTGCGGATCTGTCCGGATCACGCCCAGACCCCCCTGGGGCGTCAAGATGCTTTCTTTTGATCCCACTAGAAACCTATCAGCAAAAGCTGTTAGGTAATTATCCCGATGTGTCTTATAGTCCCAGTTCATGCTCCCGAGCAATCATGCAACACATCTCGTTCCGCAGACGAGTAGGCAATCGAACGACAGTTAGATATACGATACCCTGACTCATGATCGAAATTGCCTCTCAACGAGATGGGTGGATATTTGTATACGGGCGCGTGTACTACATTCGCATGCGCGCACGAATTACGCGCGAACCAAACGCCCCCGTGACCACACTAGGCTGAAAGGGCAGCGCGAGTCCGTCAAGACCGAGTGTGTGTTGGAGAAAGTTGCACTCGTCAGAAAGCGTTTATGTCATGACCCCTTCGCGTGATCCCCCGACCCCAACATCTTACACATTACGTTTAAGAGCAACCTGATGCTCCCAAACAAATGAGAATGCCTCAAGATTACACAGTCTAGCCGAATAGTCCTCAACGATATGTTCGTCAAGTGTTCTAACATCAGAGCATCCCAACTATGCAGCCGCTTAGAAGTATGGATGGTTCAAACAATGACTATCTGGCATTCTCGTATCTTGCTTGTGGCGTCCAGCCTGTAATGGTTGCGCCACTTGGGCCATAATGCATCCTGCTCCATGACTTTCTGCAGTCGGCTAGGGAAAGCGGGCTCTTCAAAATGTCAGAGCCACTCCCGCAAGATGTCAAGAACGTCCCCAGAAACTCAAGCCATGCACCCACAGAGTCCCGAGTGCCTCAGCATCGGTCCCATGGAGTTCCAAGACACGTGCATCGGTGCTCCAAGCTCAAGCGAAAATATGTACAGTCGGCCCGTATCAGAAGGATGATCGATAAGGATGCAAGTGCCTTGGACGCCCATTTCGAAGCTTTTCGGGCGGGGCGCGGCACGGATGCAAGGCCCTTGGGAAGGTTGCCCATCCTTACTACGCGGGTCGACCGTATGCCTAGTAACGCTTCAGTGCGTTGGGCTGGAAGCGCGCCACGAAATGTTGTGGCACCCCGTGCGGCTCTTCGAGTACAGCCATCGGCTTTCGGTGCTTCCCCGGGAAGGCCGAGAAGGCTGCCCCGGCGAGGCGAGAGGGGCCCAGAGACTGGCTCCGAATCCCATCGGCTACGACCGCCGAGACTGCGCACGCCGGGTCCAGGTCCCCACGGGACGCCCTCCAACGGCAGGCACGCTCTGGACACTTCTTCGTCGGCGGCGAGGCAGGAGCAGTCCGTACTGGCGTGGGGCTAATCGTGGGTCGGGCATGTCCTCCTACAGGCGGGCTTTGGAAGAGAAGTCAAAACTGGTCAAAACAATTTCAAAAAACAAAAACAAGAAATGAAACAATCGTCACCAGACTACTTTTTGACGATTCTCGAATGTTCCTCCTGTAGAAGGACATGCCCGACTTCAGGCGAATCGGGGCAACCGAAATGCGAATTGTCCAGCGTGCAAGAAGGAGGGGCAGAAGACGAGGGCGGCCGCGCGAGGGGAGGAGGGGGGAAGCGCTCAGACGTGCACACTCTGAACACACCTCCAGGGCATTTCAAGGTCCCCCTCACTGACCCGGATGTCCAGCAGATGTCCTCACTCTTTCGAGAAAACGTTGCACATGGACTTCAAAACGGCCTGAGCCATGTCGCCAAAAGACGCCCCAGGCTGTTCAAATTGCTACGGTTCCCTCCGCGTCCTGGATCACGTAAACGAGATAGCATGTAACATGCTGCCTGGTGTGTGTTTGTGCATTCTTCTGAAGGCCCCAAACTGCTCCCGCTCGTACGCATGCCCCCCGCCTCCCTAAGACTCGCTGGGCGTTCAAAGGCATCCATAAAGTCCCCAGCGCCTCCATGATGCTTAAGATAGCGGTCGACAAGGCCGAAGGCATACCCCGAGAAGCCCGAAGGGGCAAAATAAAGAGGCCCAAGAGACCACAAGTCAGAGAAGCCCTCAGAGGCCCAGGGGGCCCAAGATAGGGCCCAGACGGCAAACCAGGCAGCCCAAGAAACACCAGCTGCCTGATGGCTTTGACCCAGGAGCCGTTCGCCCCAATGGGGCCTCTGGAATGCTCAAACCAAGGCTGTGCTGACGGCGCTGTAGGTTAACGGCGTGGTGCGGAATCTGGTTTGTGTGACACCGAGCGCGCGCAGGAATGAATGTAGGAAATTATAACCTACGCGCTCCTACATCTTGAACCTGCCAGTGTATCGGACGAAAACGACACACCGCATCCCAGGAAAACACGACCCGCGCTCTCCTACAATTAACTTGGCCACAAAGCAATTCCACCTGCAATATCAAAAACTACCACTCCGTTTCACAAAACACCGTGACCCCGTCTTCGCAGCAAGCGAAGGCGGGAAGTGAGAAGGAAAAGGTCTTCTCAGAAGGCGGCGGGGCTCCTCAGAAACCCTCGCGCATTACGGGAAGTTTATACTGCATCTCCGGGGAAGGCTCAGGAAACTTCTCAGAAGGCTGGGGTACTTCCGAGCCTTCCGAGAAGGCCCGCCCCTTCTCGCTTCCCCCCCTCGCTCGCCGCCGACCCACAGACTTCCAGCAGCACGGCACACATCCGGCCCCATATCCAGCACGTGCTGCTCCTCCTGCCTCGCGCCTCGGCCCACCACCACACCCGGCACTCATGCATCGGGTCTGGCGTGTCCTCCTCACTTCCCCCCGTGCTCGCCGCCTAAGGGTGGCCCTGTGGCTCACCCAGACGGCCTACGTGGATGCCGTGTGGGGCCTCCGGAGGGCCGTCCGCCTCCCCCTGGCCCTATCGCTCTACACCCCTGCTGGGAGTGAAGAGAAGTGAGCAATTTCTTATTCGGCGCTTCGACATGGGGCGGACGGGGAGGGAGGGGGGGGGGGAATGCTCTGGCTCCGGACCTCTGCTGAGTGCGACTGTTTGCAACAGTGCGTCCTATGGGGGAGACTCCGCCTGCTTGAAACAGGCGCCAGAAACAGCCAGGATTAACTCCAGGGGGGGAGGGGGGAAAGGGGTGCGAGGGCCCGCGCCGATCGGCAAAACAATGAATAAGATAACGATCACGAATTGGAAGGCGCCCAGGGACACTCAATTAAACAATCACTGATCCCAGCATTCATTCTATTCTCCCTATTTGCTTAAGTTCCGTCCAACCCTCCAATGCCAATATGTTCCCATCTTCTCCTTGGCATAGACGGTTATTTGTGTCCGTGCCTATCTCTCCCTCCTGGAGATTCTACGCTAAGAAGAGAGGGCGTCGCTCAAAGCGGTCCCTTAGACAGTTGTCCAGGCCTAGAAATGGGAAAGATCTACTAACAAAGGAGCTCCAAGAAAGCGCCCAGGGTCCAGTCCGAGTTCTTGACTCTCTTAAACGAGGTTTGGAGCCCATTCAAGTTGTTGATTTGTCTTGAATTCTTGAGTCTCGTTTAACCGATCCCCATCCCCAGCGGCGTGGCCTGGGCCCCACTGGCCGATTTTCCCCCCTAGATGGGGATGTACGTCGTTCCCTTCGGGTTTCGAGGGTTGTATCCCCAACTGGGGTAGTAATTTGGTGGGGGTCTCGAAAGGGATGGGGATGGGGATGGGGATTGGTTAAACGATGCCGAGGTCTGATGGGTGTACATGCTACTGCCCTCTCTCGTCTGGGGAAGCGTACTGCGATACGTTGCGGCCTCCGCGGACTTGGGAGCAGGGGCTCCACATGTCGCGGCTCTGGGACCTGAGGAAGACAGCCAACACATGGTGCGGCCTTGTCGATCCCATGGAAGAGCGAGCAGCATGCCGTGCCCCTTCACATCGGGAGCCGATGGACGAGAACTGACACTGTTTCCATGCTCTGGGCGGGCCTCGGAAGGTCACTGCACAGAAAACTGCGCTGCCACCGTGGCAGACCTGGGTCCAAACACCCGGCTACTGCTCCGGGCTGCTGCCGGAGGGGCGAAACGACGGTAACGTGCACGATCCGTCAGCTGAGCAGGCCTGGCGACACCAATCAACGACTGGCACCGGGAATGGCCTGGAAACGCTCCAAACTGTCATCACCCATGAGTTCCGCACTGCGCTGTTGCATTGGTGCTGCGAGACGCGCGGGCCCGAGGCACCTGGGTGTCGTGCAATCGAAGCAGGTTCGCTAGCCTGTGCGCGCTGCACAAGGCAAAGGCATGCAGTAGACTTTGCCACATACGACGGGGCGAAGAGGTCGAGCGATGCACATCTCACACGCGCAATTCGCATGCATGACCAGCCCAGGCGCTGAAGCTCGACACACAACACCCATGAGTATGAGCAAGCCCAATGACGGACGCCAACAAGTGCTTCCCCCTCCTCTTCTTCTTCATCCGCCACCGCCTTCTCTTCCACCCTCCTCACTCCCCAGCAATGCCCTTCGCTTTACAAAACGCGCCTGGCGAAAAGCCAACCCAATGCAGCTAGCACACGGAGTCATGTTGAACTCCCTGTGGGCCCCGATCTG